CAGCTCCCAACTCTGCTGAACGCGCTAATATGGTTTAAAACAGAATTTAAAGAGGTTTTAGGACCTTTGGATCGATACCGGATTATTGAAAGAGCCGCACCATAGAATACCGGATTATCAGGCTTTTACTGTACGACTAAAATTGTAACATACAATTAATCCATGAAGGTAAGTAACCCTTTGCATGTATAACAGAGATTTGCCAGATGCATATCTTAATTAAATATAAACTGTATGAAATTGACTTTAACTGCATTGAGATATAAAATATAAATTATTAAAGATATCTATAGCTTAAAGTAATAGATTTATTTAATTTCTGCTACAATTACTAGATAGTATTCTGATGTTAAAATATATTAGTCTATTTTCTAATGAAAAGTAAATAAAAGAAAAGTCTTATAACATTATAACACTTAAAACATATATTTACGCTTTTACTGTTACTCACAAGACGGTAAATATACAAAACACCCCTGCCGCAGCAAACCTGTCGACTAAGCGAATTTCAACTTGTCTGATTACATTTTTACTAAAATATTTCCATAAATAAGACATAATTATTTCCAATTTAAATAACATTGGATTTAATGAGTGCTTAGGTTTGCTCCTACGGGGAAGGTAAAAAAAATGTTTTTGACCATACGTCAAAACAAAAATAGTATAAGATTAAATTAATAAATTTGCCAAATTTTATCAACACATATCCATAAACAAGTAAACTACAACAGTTAAAACGGTTTAAAAACAAATTGCAAAATTTTTTTTGTTTTTAGGGTCAAAAATGGGAAAAACCCATTTTTACCCCATAAACCCCCGTCCCCATGGTCCGATTATGCTGGTTCGGGAACTCGTTCGAATAAACATAGGTTTACACGTTTGTACCAAATTGAATCAAAATCGGACCATTTTTGCTCTAATTATCGCGCTAACGGACATATATAAATAAATATATATATATGAATTTGAACGCATGGTGTTTTTGGCCTCTAGGGACCTCAAAACAAAAAATTAAATCGGTCCCGGATCCAGGTCTTACCATGATTACTACGGTAATAGCTTATTCCCTATATGGGAAATTCGCTAAGAGATGGTAAGTGGTGATCAATTTTGATTGGACACTCCAATCATTATCAGACCCAATAGGCGAATCAATTCGCTATATTATATATCTATTCGCTATCTAACCCACATTCGCCTATTGGGTCTGATGATGATTGGAATGTCCAATCAAAATCGATCACCACTTACCATCTTTTAGCGAATTTCCCATATAGGGAATAAGCTATTACCGGACGTGGGAACGATTTTTTTTTTTGTTTTGTGGTCCCTAGAGGCCAAAAACACCATCCGTTCAAATTCATATATATATATATATATTTATATATTTATATATTTATATATACAGGGTGTTTTTTTAAAAACTTGCATCTTTATTTATGTAAAAACCGCAATAGATAGAAATATGCAGTTTGCGGGAATCATCTATTTAAGTAGGGGGCCCAATTGTTTTGAATTCAACGTTACATTCACATTCCCCCCTTTCCCCCCCCTGCCCCCAAATTATTTTTTTTAAATAGCAAGGTACCCCTTGTGACATATCAAATGAAAGAGCATGAAAAAAGAAAATGTTTGATGAAAAAAAATTAAAAATCGGTTAATAAATTTGCAAAATATTTCCCCCCCCTTGCCCGGAACTTGATTATTTTTTTAATAGCAAAGTACCCCTTGTGACATATCAAATTAAAGAGCATGAAAAAAGAAAATTTTTGGTGGAAAAAAATTTAAAATCGGCTCATGAATTTGTGAGGTAATCCCCCCCTTTTTCCCCTACCCATAACTTGTTTTTTAATAGCAAGGTACCCGCCCTTGTGACATATCAAATGAAAAATAAATTTCACCAAAAATCTTCTTTTTTCATGCTCTTTCATTTGATATGTCACAAGGGGTACTTTGCTTTAAAAAAAAAATCAAGTTCCGGGGAAGGTGGGGGGAAATATCTCGCAAATTTATGAACCGATTTTTAATTTTTTTTCATCAAACATTTTCTTTTTTTATGCTCTTTCATTTGATATGTTACAAGCGGGACCTTGCTATTTAAAAAAAATAAGTTGGGGGCAGGGGGGCAAAGGGGGGGAATGTGAATGTAACGTTGAATTCAAAGCAATTGGGCCCCCTACGTCAATAGATGATTCCCGCAAACTGCATATTTCTATCTATTGCGGTTTTTACATAAATAAAGATGCAAGTTTTTAAAAAAACACCCTGTATATATATGTCCGTTAGCACGATAACTCGAGCAAAAATGATCCGATTTTGATGAAATTTGGTACAAACGTGTAAACCTACGTTTATTCGAACGAGTTCGCGATCCAGCATGATCGGACCATGGGAACGGGGGTTTACGGGGGGTTTACGGGGGGTTTTATGGGGTAAAATTAGGTTTTTCCCATTTTTGATCCAAAAAACATAAAATTTAGCAATTTATTTCCAAACCATTTTGTAGAGCATAAAAAAACAAATAATTTAGTATATTGAAGCGCTATTATGCGCCTAATGGTTACGGAGAAAATTCCAAAAAATTGTAAATTTAAAATTCCCATGGAGAATAAGTAAACTGTTGTAGTTTGCTTGTTTATGAACATATTTTGATCAAATTTGGAAAATGTTTTTATTTCTTACTAACTATTAACATTTTACAAAAAAAAAACAGTTTTACCCTCCCTGATGCAGCAAACCTAAGTACTTGTTAAAACTAATTCTATTTAAATCGGGGATAAATGTTATATTTTTAAGTAGACATTTCAGTGTAAATCCAATCAGTCAAATGAAAATTCGCTTAGTCTGCAGGTTTGCTGCGGCGGGGGTATTTTGTATGTTTACTGTTATATTTACATAACAACATATGTTTTATTTACATTTTATTTCTAACATGTGTTCAAATTATTATTTTGTTTACTTATTGAATTGTTTATGTTTACTTACAGATTGTGATTTAATAAAAACTTACCTTCTATTTTCTTATACAAAATGTGAACTTTTATTACTAAAATTAGTGGAATCAACAATGGCGACGAGGATGGGATGGTAAGTAGAAAAGAATTTGACTTATGTCTAAAGAAAAGGAAATTACTAGAACTACGCTTGATCATACTGAAGGATGATTTACCAACATGTGAACATTCTCAAGATACATGCACTTACTACACAGATAAACTTTTAGCAATATGGGCTGAAATTGAGGTTACACAGTCAAATATTGAACTTCACACAAATTCAGTAGAAAGTGAATTAGAAATTTGATGGCAGTTAGAAGAAATATATAGAGAGATATGGACATTCCTTGAAGCAGAAAAGAAGTACGATACACATGCAGCAATTTCTGCTTCTGCAACATGCCAAAATGTATCTAATATTCCTTTCCAACCAGAGGAAAGTTTTCAAAACTTCACTCGACGCTTTGAAAACTACACAAAATTACGGGGAAACTTAAGTCCAAAAGTCAAAGTGGATTTATTTTTACAGGCAATCACCCCACAAATACATGAACAGCTATAAGATCATTGCATACCAGATGACCCACATAACAAGCCATATGAGGAATTGATTCACATGTTAATGGCTCAACTAGAACCAAAACCCAGTATTTGGGCACGTCAGCACAAATTTACGACACGTACCCAATTATGTAATGAATCTGTACAAACTTACGCTAATGCTCTTAGAAAGCTCAGTGTAGAATGTCAGTTTACTTGTACAAGTTGTAATGAATCTGTATCTGAAATTCTACTTCGAATGCAGTTTGTCAGGGGATTAAAAGACTCTGATATACGTCTTCAACTTCTTCAAGATAAACTATTGCAACCGTTTAAAGAAGTAGTCGAAAAGGCTGCTACATTGGAACTAGCAAAAAGTGAGAGCAGAATAGTAAAGACAAATGAAAATCAAGAGGAAGTACACCAAGTATCAAGCAAGAACAAACAGCCAGATAGGAAACCATGTAAATCTAACAATATACAACTCTCTGAGTATCAAACTCGTTTGGAGAAACTGAGAAACAAATGCTATAGATGTGGTGATGATTCACATAGAGCACATCAATGCAAGTTCAAAAATGCAGAATGCAACTCTTGTAAACGTTTTGGTCACTTAGCAAGAGTATGTCTAAACCAAACAAAGAAGTAAAACAATCAGATGAAACCGCAGAAAATTCAAGCGATGATGGCACTCATGAAATTTACCAACTTCATTCAAAATCAAATGACAAGTTTATGCTCGAGGTAAAAGTGGAAGGACGACTCATGACAATGGAGTTAGATACAGGAGCGGCTCTCAGCATTCTATCATATGATACATTTAAGCTTTTAAACTCTCCAAAAAGGATTTTCAAGACAAATGTTCAACTCAAGACATACACTGGGGAAATAATCAATCCAAAGGGAGTTGTTTTTGTAAACCTATAAGTATAAAAGAGGATGTTTGTATATATATTTGTTTGTTTGTTTGTTTGGCAGGGATAAACTCGGACACCGCTCGACAGATTGTAATGAAACTTTCAGGCATTATTAAGCATTCAAGGAAGGTTTGTGTGAAGTTTGGTGCTGATCCAACCTAAAGGTGAGTGAGCGTAGCGAACGAGCTCCAACCTAAAGGTGAGTGAGCGTAGCGAACGAACGTCAACCAGGACGTGATTGAGCCATGCGAACGAGATCATCTTGAAAATTAAACGTAACAGTACTTAAATTATAAATAGTCAAAGGCAAGACAACGTCTGCCGGGTTCAGCTAGTGTTCAGTATAAAGATCAAAGTTTTGTTGGAAAACTGTACATTGTTAACAAGTGTGTAGACTCTATATTTGGAAGAGAATGGATAAGAGAGATTCAACTTGATGCAGCTGACATACATTCATTAAATTCAAGTGAAAACGAAAACATCCAAGAACTAGATGATTTGATACGAAGACATTTTCAAAGAAGCATTCAGGGAAAAGGGTCATTTTAATGTAAAAGACGAAACCCAGCCAATTTACATCAAACCTAGACACATGCCATATGCATTACAAGAAAAAGTAGAGAAGGAACTTGAAAGACTGGAGACTTTGAGTATAATCACTCGTGTCGAATCATCCGATTGGGGTACACCCATTGTGCCGGTTGTCAAACCCAATGGTTCAGTCAGAATATGTGCTGACTACAAGGTGACTTTGAACAAAGTTATTAAAGACGAACATTACCCTATACCTCGGATTGATGATATCATGCCAAAGATGCATTGTGGAAAGATATTTTGTACTCTTGATATCAGTAACGCATACTTGCACATGGAGATGGACGAAGACAGTGCCACCATGCAAACGATCAGTACTCATAAAGGGCTGTTTAAAGTGAACAGATTAATGTTTGGAGTAAAAGTGGCACCCTTGTTATGGCAAAGATTCATGGACAAAACATTACATAACTTAGAAGGCGTACAATGTTTCTTTGACGACGTAATTGTCCAAGGATCTAACAGGGAACAGCTTCTTCGCCGACTGGAACAGGTGTTTGAACGATTGAAGTTAAATGATTTGAGGTTAAATAGAGAGAAGTGTAAGTTTTTCCAGAACAAAATTGAGTACTTAGGTCATGTGATTGATAGCAAAGGACTACACAAGTCAGATGCTAAAATACAGAGTATTTTAAAATGTAAAAGACCAGAGAACGTAACTGAACTCCGAACTTTCCTAGGCCTTGCGAATTATTACAACGAATTCATAAAGAATTTGGCTACACTGCTACATCCTTTGAATCGGCTGCTACGAAAAGGAAACACTTTTACATGGAGCTCTGCTTGTGAACAGAGTTTTCTGAAGATTAAAGAAATTATTACAAGTGATGACGTGTTGGTACACTTTGATCCTAGCTTGCCACTGGTCTTAGCTACTGATGTTTCGCCGGTAGGTGTAGGAGCCGTTCTTTCGCACCGCTATAGGGATGGAACAGACAGGCCAATTGCCTTCGCCTCTCGATCTTTATCAAAATCAGAACAAAAATACTCTCAAATCGATAAGGAAGCCTTGGGAATATATTGGGGCCTGAAAAAGTTTTACCCGTTTTGTTATGGCCGCAAATTTACTTTGATCACTGATCACAAACCGCTGGTGTCAATTTTTAATCCAGCAAAGACCTTACCAACAATCACGGATATTCAACTATGCTCACTTTCTCTCCGGGTTCGACTATGACATAGAGTACAGACAAACGGCTCATCATTGCAATGCAGATTATCTCTCTCGATTCCCTATCGAAGTTGTACAAGAACATTCTGTAGACGACCTCTCGAAGTACTACATAAATCAACTGGAAACACTCAATATCAACAGTACCGTGGTAGCTAAGGAAACTCTCAACGATGCTGTTTTGGGTCCAGTCCTACAGGCCTTGAAATCGGGACAATCTGTTGAACAATACGGATTTCACGATAACGAGCTGTCCATTCAAGATGATTGTGTACTGAAGGGCTGGAGAGTCATGATACCTCAATCTCTCAGACCTCATGTGCTTCGAGAACTACACGTAGCTCATTTAGGAGGAATAAAAATGAAGGCTTTAGCTCGCAGTTTTTGATGGTGGAAAAGTATAGACAAGGATATTGAAGATATGGTAACTGAATGTCGACAATGCATTGAAAAATGCAACAACCCGAGAAAAACTATCCATCCATGGGAACAACCTTCTAATCCATGGGAGAGGGTGCACATTGATTTCTTAGGACCAACAGATGGCCAACAGTACCTGATATTAGTGGATGCCTTTAGTAAGTGGGTGGATGTGATACAGACGAAAACAACTACAAGTACATGGACAGTCCAAGAATTACAGAAAATCTTCTCAACTTTTGGGTTTCCTCACATCTTAGTTTCAGATAATGGAAGACAGTTTGTTTCTCAAGAGTTCAAAAACTTCATGAATGAATGTGGGATTATTCACAGAACAACGGCACCATACCATCCAAACTCAAATGGCCAGGCTGAAAGGTACGTGCAGACTGTCAAGAAGGCGCTAAAATCCATGGAGGGAGAAAAGGGTACACTGCAAAATAAAATCCAAAGACTTTTAATGCAACTCAGGCAATCCCCGAATTCAACAGGTACATCAGCATATCACCTAATGTTTGGAAGGAGTGTACGAACAAACCTCGCAATAATTGTTCCAACATTAGAACCGAACAAATATCAGAAGAAGGGAGTCCAAGTCGGTATAAAAAGGAATTTCAAAGTTGGAGATAAAGTGCAAGCACGGGAATATGTCAATGGTTCGTCCAAGTGGTATTTGGGCCATATAACTCAAAAGCAAGGACATGTAATGAACGTAGTTCAGCTGGAAGATGGACTAAGAAGACATGTTGACCAGCTGATTCTTCGTAAAGTGCCGCAGCACAGTAAATAGAGGAGGAGGTGTTAACATATGTTTTATTTACATTTTATTTCTAACATGTGTTCAAATTATTATTTTGTTTACTTATTGAATTGTTTATGTTTACTTACAGATTGTGATTTAATAAAAACTTACCTTCTATTTTCTTATACAAAATGTGAACTTTTATTACTAAAATTAGTGGAATCAACATTTACCATTTTGTGAGTAACAGTATAAGCGTAAATATATGTTTTATGTGACGTTTCTTTTATTTACTTTCCGTAAATATAATAACACATACAATGCTGATCAAGAAGTTATTTATTTTCTAATGTCTATTCCCTAACTAAACAAAAAGCGACAAACATTCCAATACAGTAAACATGTTTGTATATTATATTCAAGGGTTTTATTTGTCCTTTAAATGTCTAACTGACAAGATAATCTTCTTTCATGCAGAGTTTTTATCAGAAAGTCGTCCTTCAAAGAATCTATGCAACTGAATGACAGTTTTAAAACTATCTATTATATTTTTAATGAATATTAACACTTATGTGTCTATAAAGTACTCAAAGTGTAAATGTTACCTTTGATACAGTAATTAGACAATTTAAACACATTTGAATCCAATAACAAACAAAATACCAAATATTTAGAAGTAACAAAGGGTTGTTATGAGAGCTCCAAGATCAAGTTTTTGTTCTAATCAAAATAATAAAATTAGTGCCAAATTCATGAATTAAGAAGTTTATGAAGAATTCTTTTTCCCCTTAGACCTTCAATATGTGATGTAAGATGGTTTTCTTACCTTATCTAACCATTCTTATTGATTATTTAAAACTATCTACTTTATTGCTCCAGTACTTAAAATTTGTTAACCTAGTTACTACTTATTTTAGTATACATCAGTAGAGATGGATTTTAATCATAACCTGACTTTCAACTGTTCCATTCGTTGCTTCATACGTTTCCGCATTTCCTTATACCTAAAAACATTCAAATTTCAAACTTACAAAAGAAAAATCAGGTTTAAAAATTTTAAAAGTCGTCAAAATTTCATAATGTTGGAAACTAAACATGGTCTCTAATGATGTGAATTAAATAATACTAGAGGTCGTCCAATGGTCGAAAACTCAACCAAAAATATGTAATGTACAGAATTCTATATTTCCACCCACACTGAAAAAAAAACATGTGATAGGGATTTGTTTTGAAAGTGTCTTGAAAAAAGCATTTTGTATCAAGGGCTGTAAAACAATATTTTGCCTATGTGGCAACATGATGTGAATGCCGTCGTATCACGTTGTGTGGCTTCGGACCGGAAGTGTTTCCCATAGCAAAATCTGCAATGATGCTTGTGCTTAGGTAGGAAAAGAAATGGATAGGACATGGACTCTGGACAGGAAATTTCTGGTTGGTTGCAATGCACGCTGAGTCAGAAATTGTTCGACTGCCTGCACATGCACACTCTCAAAAGAACTCTGTTCATGTCCCTAAGGTGTAGCCTTAGTGATAGAATATTTCTGTGTCGTTTCCTCTCCTTTTCCATTCCCTTCCTTTTCCTGACTGTAACCATTACTTGGTCTGTATAGTTATACATGGTGTCTACTAAACCTGGTTTGAAAAATTCAAGGAGTTTTCCAGGAGAATTCAAGACAAATTCCCGAATTTTAAGAACTACTATCGGAACCCGTTCAACTAATCGCAACCCGCTAATAATAATTTATTATTACTATTAATGATTATTTTAATTTAAAACAAAACTTTTCCAAAGAAAAATATTTTATACAACATAATAAAACAGTAAAACTAATAGGTAAGGCGACACCAGCTATCATCTCCTGCGATCGTGGGAATACCGGTGAGCATATCTTGCAGTCTCCTCAACACAGGCAACCGATCGCGGCAAAACAGGTTCGCATATTTTATTATTTCAGCGACACCGATAATCGTCTCCCACGATCGCAGGAATACCCGTGAGCATATCCTGCGGTTTCGGCAACACCGATAATCGTTTTCCGCGATCGCGGCAATACCCGTGAGCATATCCTGCGGTTTCGGCAACACCGATAATCGTTTTCCGCGATCGCGGCAATACCCGTGAGCATATCCTGCAGTTTCGGCAACACCAATAATCGTCTTCCGCGGTCGCGGCAATACCTGTGAGCATATCCTGCGGTTTCGGCAACACCGATGATTATCGTCTCCCGCGATCGCGGCAATACCCGTGACCATATATCGTGGTTTCGGCAACACCGATAATCGTCTACCGCGATCGTGGCAATAACCGTGAGCATATCTCTAAATAACCGTGAGCATGACTCTAATGTTTTGTTTTCAGGAAAATCCAATTTAACTATTGAAAAATCCTCAAACAGGAGTCTCCTCTCTATAAAAAAGTTTTTGGATGAAAGAAATCTGCTTATCAGCACAACAAAATCAAATCTAATATCCTTTTCAACTAAACAATCAATAACAGCATTTGAACCTAATATTTTTATAAAAACAGACAAAATTGATCAGGTAAACCAAACAAAGTTTCTGGGACTGGTTATTGATGAAAATCTATCTTGGGATAATCACATAAACTATGTAGTAAATAAATTATCATCTGGCATTCATGCCTTGCGGCTGATGTCCAAGGTTGGCAACTTGGAAACTCTTAGGATAATCTATTATTCTCTAATTCATTCCCACATATCCTATGGAATCGCCATTTACGGAGCAACAACTAAGGCAAATTTAGATAAAATACTTATAAAACAAGAAAAAGCTATTAGAGTGATCATGAAATTAAAAAGAACAGATTCAGTTAAAAATATCTTTCCTGAATTGGGTGTATTAACAGTTTACAGTTTGTATATATATGAGACAATAATTTATGCAAAACAATTTCATTTATTATCCACTGCAAGTAAATATAACACACGCTTTCAAATTAACCTTCCTAGACATAATTTAGAATTCTATACCAAAAAACCTTCATATGCAGGCTTAAAATTTCTTAAAAAATTACCGATTTCACCTAAAAAAGAAAATAATACAAACCGATTCAAAAGCCTACCAAAAGACTTGTTGATAAGAAACCCATTTTATTCCATCAAAGAATTTTTAAATTGTAATCTCGAAACGACCATTTGAATTCCAGTTACTACCTAGTTTTACTCTAACGTAACCTTCTAATATTTTGTGATTTTTTAAAGTTATAGCACTCATTTTTAGTTTTACTATATAAATCCTTTGTGAATGATTTTAATTATTTAGTTTATAATTTTTTGTTTATGTTAGTTTAATGACGCTATTCAAGACATATTGTCTAAACTTTGTGAATAAAGAATATTTGATTGATTGATTGATTGATTGATCCTGTGGTTTCGGCGACACCGATAATCCTCTCCCACGATCGCGGCAATACCCGTGAGCATATCCTGCGGTTTCGGCGACACCGATAATCGTCTCCCGCGATCGCGGCAATACCCGTGAGGATATCCTGCGGTTTCGGCGACACCGATAATCGTCTCCCACGATCGCGGCAATACCCGTGAGCATATCCTGCGGTTTCGGCGACACCGATAATCGTCTCCCGCGATCGCGGCAATACCCGTGAGGATATCTTGCCGTTTCGGCGACACCGATAATCGTCTCCCGCGATTTCGGCAACAAAAGCAATAGTGTTTGGTTAGCCGACGATTCCGATGACCGGGCTGTGGATTCCCGGAGGTTCGGGTGGATTCCTGGAGTTTTCCAGGACATTTCAAGGTAGGATAAAATTCTCGGAGTTTTTCCGGTTTTCCCGAATTTCCCGGAGTGTAGACACCATGTTATATATATTTTTCCTCTGAATATTCAATTGTTAGACTTACTTGGCTTTAATTCTCCGAACTTCCCTCTCCTCTTCATATGAATATCTTTCCAGAATAGCACGTAGCTCGGTAGAGGTGAGATTAAGAAACTGGGCAACCTGAAAAATATGTTAAGTTTTTTTTAAATTTATTTTTATATTCACTAAAATCATATTTATAACTATGTGTATTGTAAGTTATTACTATCAATCTTCTATATATTAATAGGCAAGCATGTTTCTTTAAAACCTTTTATCTCAGCTCGTGTTCATCACAGGGGAAATCTATGAATACTATTAAAAAGATATTTTCCTGTAGATGTGAGAATACCTTTATAAATTAAAATAGGCGTAAAATAAGCACAAAAAATGAATTTAAAATTTATAAAAATTAACATGGGTCTAATGGGTTGCCATGATGGTGACAAAATAACAACACAATATAAACAAAAACAACAGAAAATCAAAACAAATTGAAGAAATTCTAATCACGTGTTTTATTTTCTACAGTGTGGGGTGAAAATAGAGAAGTCTGTTAGTACATTACATATTATTGGTTGAGTTCTCGACCACGGGACGACTTCTAGTTAATATTATTTAGTAAATAATTTTTTACTTGTAGCTATTTATGACAGTATTTATACCCAATTGACCTTCTCCAATATTTATCTAACAGAATGGACAGTCTAAAAAAACCAGACTGATGTTCAATAATAAATTCTAGCAATAATACAGTAGTACCTCTCTTGTCAACACACAGTTAGTACAAAATCTGTGAAGAATTGAAGGTCTACTGATACACAATTTCAGTTGATGTCCAACCAAGCTTGAGTGAACAAAAATGTATCTATCTGTTGGTGACTAAAATTATTCTGTGCTATAAGTTGACTGAAAATAGTTGGTTTTAATCATGTGATGAAATTTGCCTTGACATTTTAATTTTAGTTTATAAACTTTTCCTATGCAAAGTGTTTTGACTAAACTACGTTTTGGGATGTAAGGAATCTCGTCCCGTTTTTAAGTGACTAACTATTACATCTGCCTAAAGCCCCTGTCACACGGGGCTTGTTTTAGCAGCTAGTTCTCGCTGCGAGCTCCAGCAGCTCTAGTTGCTGGTTCTCCAGCATGCTAGTAGTCCTGTGTTACGAAGCTGAGGAACTAGCGCTACAAGTCTTGTGTTGTGATTTGCACTGTGTGTGTAGTCAAACAAAAATAATGTCCTCTTTTGGCATTAGACGTGTTGTTTTTGTTTATAATTGTCTATGATCAGCCATCATAAAAGTAAAAAGAGTGCAAGGCAAAAAATGCAATGTTAAAATATAAACTATTTATTATTATTTTTTACCTACTATGGGCTTGTAGATTAACAAATGAAAAACAGATAAGTTGTGGTAGGCCTATCACAAAAGTTTGTTATCTTTTACCAACACAAAAAAAACACATTCAATTAGTTTAAATAGGTGAGATATAACAATAATTGTTACAATGGCATTATGAGAATACATGAAAACATATTTTCTTAACATGAAGTTTAAAATCTTTTCTTAATTAATTGAAATTACATATTCAATTAATTTAAATTTGTTGATTTTTATTATTGCGAGAACTAGCACGATACTGTTGGCTCCGGTCAGACGGAGCTGGAATGGCGCTAGAGACCACAGCTGGGTGGTCACATGATCTGCTAGTACCTATTCAAGCGCTTGTAATATTAAACTGTTTAAACCCTCCAGCGGATGTCTTCCTCCTTGACTTGAGGTAACATTCTTGTCTTCCTTTGCATTGATTCCAGAATCAATTCTGGTCTGTCAAACCGCATTTGTTAAGTGGAAATCACCGTATTCACATTTTTGCCACAAACAAGTAAGGGCCTTACCATTTTTAACCGCTTAAAATCCAGCCACGATAATTTTTTATACTACCTACGACAGTCAAGGAAGTAACTGCCGTAATAACTAGCCTAAAGAACAAAACTCCTCTGGTTATGATAACATAATAATGGATTGTGTCAAAAGAATTGTAGATGTAACCTTAGTTCACATTATAAATTTAAGTTTTGTAAATGGTGTTTTTCTGCATAAATTAAAATCAAGTATTGTAGTTCCAATACAGAAAAAAATAGCTTGAAACTTGACAATCTAAGACCAATAGCTCTTTTGTCTGTTTTTTCTCTCAAATATTTGAAAAAGTTTGCAAAATATGTTTGTTAAAATAAAATTTTTAATAATTTAAGATTTTTAGTAACAGACAATTTTGGGTTTATTAAAGGTAAATCCACAGAAGATGCTTTGATTACAGTTACGTACAAAATTTATAGCAACTGCAACTTAAATTTAAAGACCACAGGGCTGTTCATAGATTTTAAAAAAGCTTTTGACTTTGTAAATCACACAATAATTCTTTGAAACAAATTAGAAGCTGCCGGTATCAGAGGTGTGGCCTTAAATTGGTTTAAAAGTTAGAGGAGCCAACAGGTAAGAATTAAAAACAATGTCAGTAAACCCCACATTGTAAGATCGGGTGTTATATATACACCTTCGCAAATACAGTATCTGACAGTTTCAAGCCAAAACAAACGCTTCGCAATTAAATGTCATGCCACCCCATATGTTAGTCCATATGTTAAATCCAATGATTAAACTAAAAAGGCTTTATAGGCCTACTATGAGAAATAGATCTATGAGTCATAGCCCTAAGGTAGGCCTATAGTTGAAAGTTACTTTCCACAATGGTTAAAAGTATTTAAAGTACTACCTCAACCTCACCATTTAACACTTTATTCGGGTTGACATTTTCATTATCAAAGGTGCTCAAATTGTCCTTTTCGTGACACTAAGAAATAAGGACATTAATGTGTTATAAACAGACATACACACAAAAATACAGAACTTAATTAGGGAATTTGTTACGTTTTAAGCATAACAAGTACATATAAAATTAATATTTGAAATCTTTGTCAATGTCATCAAATTTTATCATAACAATTTATATTTGCTTGGACCGAAGATGACGCGAAATGCTGTCGAAATGAATGCTTACTATATGAAATTAAGTAGGCCTACTATAGACGATTTAGATTGGTAATTTATGATACAAATTACCAAAATAGGCAATGAACTATTAATACATAACAACGTAAATCGTAAACAATTCACGATGGTTTGCTAAACAAATGTTTTACTTAAATGAGTTATCATTTTCTTAGCATAAACTAACATTTTGGAATCCAGACAGAAAAAGCAAAACTTATACAGTTAAGACATCAATTAAACTGAATAGGACTGTATAAATAAGGTGCAATACCAACAATAACTAATTTGTAAATTACAGTGATGTGTTGGTACGTAAAAATTATTCTTGCTGCTACCAATGGTTCTAAGGAAAAGAACCAGTACCAAAAATCAACGTTTACAGTGGGACCGCGTCTCGTTGTCCCTCCGTCTCGTTGTCCCTCCGTCTACTTGTACCTCGAGGCCTAGGGACAACTAGTCGTAGGTACAACTAGACGTAGGTACAAGTAGACGGTGGCTCACCCGACTAGTTGTACCTGCAGATTTTTAGGAGGTACAACTAGACGTAGGTACAAGTAGACGTAGGTACAACTAGACGTGTATCCCACCGACAAGTAGTATCACCTAGCTTGTACGGATGCGACCAGTTGTCCCTACGACTAGTAGTCCCTACGACTAGTAGTCCCTACGACTAGTGGTCCCTCCGTCTAGTAGTCCCTACGTCTAGTTGTACCTACGCGTATTTTGCGTCCTTATAGTCTAGTTGTATCTATCCTTCAATTCGTTACCCTGTTTAATTGATTACTGCACGATTACTTTTTAATAATACCCTTAATTAAATCAGGAACTGCAGTGTTCCGAGTCGATTGAGTATGATTGGCAAATATTTTTCACTGCAATACGATGTTTTAGTAGTTTTACAGACGTTAATTGGAGGCTGAAAGCTACGCATTGCTGTCCAGGGTCGAAATGGCAGCTATAGTTGTGATTAAAATTTTCCAGCCCTGGTACCGAAAATCGCTTATTTAATTAAAACATTTATATATATCATTAAATATACAAGCAGTATATCCCTAATGAATTGCAATAGACCGCTGCCCAGCAATTATGTATTACTATTTTTGCTGATTCCTTTAAATATTTTTTCACATAACCTTAAAGTATTTGCATTGATTAGTGTGCATATCTTATAGTTCACAATGGATTTCCCAGTGATCAATGAACAATGAAGTGTACAATGAAGTTGAGGTCCAGCGGTTGAAAACTCGACAAAAACTATGCAATGTACTACACATACTTCTCCATTTAACATACACTGTAAATAATAAATGTGATTGGAATATGTTCCATTTGTTTTGATTTTATTTTCATAATTAGTTGTTATTTCGTCACCAGCATAGCAACCCGTTAAACCCATGTTAGTTTTAAACATTTGTAATTATTTTTAATTTATAAAGGCATTCTGTAGGAAAATACATTTCCACCGATATGCGGATATTTTCTCTGTGATGTTCACGAGCTGATAAAAAGGTTGTAAAGAAACATGCTTGCCTACATTATTGATATATTTTCTCAGTTTTGTATAGTTTGGTGAAAAACAGCAATCGTACCACGGACCGATTTCATCTTCGTCTCGAACTTAAAAATGATCCCGACCTGAAAAAAAGTCATTTTCGGCCCTAGGTACGAAATATACTCTTAAACTATCGTAGGCTCGGTGGATACTAAACTCTATCTTGGAATTGCATACACTCGCTCCTATCTTTAAGTTTACGTTGTTGCCATACAATAAATGTATAAATAAACACAAAAATTCACAAGTTTTGTTGTAAGTACCTATATCGTGTATAAATAAAAACATACAATAGCATCATGTGTATGTGTATTCTGTAAAACTTTAAACAAATATTAGTAAAATAGTTTTCAGGCAAACTATTGTTGAATGAATTAGTTTTAAGTTGTTAAATTAACCTCGACCCATGCTATATGTTTAATGGAGTTTGTCCGGCAAAATACCATAGTAAAATTAAATCAAATAAATAAAATCAAAAGCAATTCATAACAAAAGAATAATAGATACAGAATGAACGTAATTTCTGAAAATCGACA